AGGTTGAAAACCACTACATGAAAGGATTATCTTAACATATTTCTTATACTAACACTGATTTCTCAGTGTTTGACCTTCCTGTGATTCTTACAGAATTGTTAACTAAAAGTATTCTTGTATATTAAACTACAGTCAGCACCAAAAGTCTTGGTACGGACATCCTGCGCTAAAATTTTTGGCAATTTATCAAGCACCCCTTATAACTCTGGTTTACATTTGACCAAAGTGTTGGCACGAGCCAGGGAGGTAAAGTAAGTGGAACTTAATCAGCTGTCACTTCTTTGAACCGGATAATGTGTCTTGCACATTCATGGATGGTACATTCTGCTTGTCTTTTGAATTTCCCATGCACTTTATGAGTGTGACCTCACCTTCCCCCATGGTTCCCAATAACTGTGAAAGTTGCCTAAAAACTCCGCAAGACAGTTTTCCACTTCTCCATATCCAAAGCAAGGTATTTCTTTGAAAAAAATAATTTTTTTCATCCTCTGCTGTTTCTTTAACAGTGGCTTTCATTGTGGGTGCAATGTTGGAAGACAAGGTTGTTACAGAGGCACCATTGTACTTTTCTGGTAGAGACGTTTTAGAAAAGTTTTGGATACATCCTCTTGAGTTCCTTTGCAGTTTCTCATGGTTCTTTGTCCACTTGACCTTGGAAAATCATCATTGGTTCTCTTAGAGCAGTTACGTGGCCTCCCAGACCTTTCCTTGTGGAGTGGTAAAGCTTCATCACCTCTCTGTTTTTCTTGGTCCAGCACTGCTTTATGGAGTGCCATCCTGGTCATAATAATAATCTTCCTATTAGTCTTCCCCCAAGCTTGAGGGAAACTATGGCAGAAATCTCTTCCTTTGTAATCTCTTTGTTGCCTCCCATTTCTCCAGAAAATGTAAAATAAGAAGCAATGATCATGCTTAAAAACTGCATGGGGTGACACAAAAGAAAAACAGAATGTACTGCCTGTGTATTAACTAAACACATTATCTGGTTCAAACAAGTGACAGCTGATAAAGCCCCACTCACTTTACCTCCGTGGCTCGCACCAACACTTTGGTTGAAATTAAACCAGAATTATAAGGGGTGCTTGATAAATTGCCAAAAATCTTAGCAAGGGATGTTCACACCAAAACTTTTGGCACTGACTGTATATCTCTTGATGAGTTCAGTGTTGTCCTAATATTGTTGTCATATAAAATGTTTCAAGAAAAATGAATGCCAACCAATACACTAGAGAACTTCAAATCAGATGGGTTGATATTTTTGTCATCAACAACAGAAAATATAGAGATGTTTTACTTTATATTTAAATTATTTGGAAAGACAAACACACTCACACGCACATAAATATTCTGGGCTGATTTATATATGATACATTTTCCTCATGAATTTGGGTTTTTATAATCATGGCAGTATGGTTACATTTTGAGTTTATCATGTGAAACAAATTATTCTATTGTCTTTTTATTTTTCCTCTTTGTTTCCAACCAGAATCTCAAAATTCTTGTTAAATGTATTTAAGATATGCAAATCTTTTTCAATATAGCAGTTTGTCCTTTCCCTTTTTGCTTTTTTTGTCTTTTTGCTCCTTGTGCCTAGACACTATGTTTATAATTTTGAGGGTTGAAGTTTTTACATTTTTATATATGATGTTCATATAGTTTACATTTGGTTAACAGAGCTGAGTACCCGGGAGGCTAAAGTGTCCGGCATCCGAGAAGCTTTACAAACTCTACCAGTGGCACACCTGTCCACTCTCAAGGTCATCATCATGCATCTTGCCAGGTGAGTCCATTGCAAATGTTTATAGGCCTTCTACCTCTTTTTGTCTCTGCCATTTTCTTGATGAGGACATTTTTTTCTGTTTTCCATATGATTTATTATAGTTTTTACATTTCTTGTATTATTACAAGAGCAAATAAGGCAGTATATGCATTGTCACCGACTTATTACTGATAGTGTGTGTGCACTCTGAACATGCATTTTTTTTGTCATGAATTTTGACATGCGTCAATTGGTTTCAAGTGGATGGTCTGTATTATTCAAAAGAGCATGCACATGTAACATACAGAATTCATAGTTGTACTGATAATATTAAGTTAGGCTTCTTAGTTGCATATAACACTAAACTAATTATGTATTATTTTTTCACTTTTATCTGAAATTATATCTGACTATATTATCTTTCCATGTAATTAGGCTATGATTGTGACCATAATGAATGTATACTTTGGTTGTGATGCTACCAAATATGATGCTGATAAAGTAACAATTTGTAACCAGCATGCATGCAGAAATAGTGGAAGTGTGTATGTTGTAATTGTGTAGAGGACCTTTCATTTGATCCTGAGTTTATGTCCTCTACTGGTGTCAATAGTTTAGAAGGATTTTTTGTACGTTAATTGGAACTACGCACTGACTCCAAATGTGGCTTATTTATATTATTATGGAATTCATCAGTGGAAATTAATAGTAATGATAATGATGATAATATAATGATAGTAGTTCAGGAGTGAGGCAAGGCTGTGTCCTTGAGCCAACTCTTTTCAACACATGCATGGATTGGATACTGGGCAGAGCTACTGTTCAAAGTCATTGTGGGGCAACACTGGGCAATATCAAGGTTACAGACCTTGACTTTGGTGATGACGTTGCCATTCTATCTGAGTCTTTGGAAACCCTAGTGGCGGCTCTGGATGCATTTAGCAATGAAGCGAAACCCTTGGGTCTAGAGGTCTCCTGGACTAAGACCAAGGTCCAGGAATTTGAGGACTTGTTAGGAGAACCTGTTCAGTCAGTACGTGCTTGCGGCGAGGACATTGAAGTCACGGAGAGCTTTACATACCTTGGTAGTGTAGTTCATAACTCTGGGCTGTCAGACCATGAAGTCAGCAGACAGATTGGCCTGGCAGTAGGGGTTATGAACTCTCTCAACAAGAGTATTTGGAGATGACGGTACCTGTGCAGAAGGACCAAGCTACGGGTTTTCAAGGCTCTGATAATGCCAGTTTTGCTATACGGTAGCAAAACCTGGACATTGTCCTGTGCCTTGGAGTCTCGTCTTGAAGCCTTTTGTAATAGGTCCTTGCGCCAGATCATGGGGTACTGTTGGCAGGACCATGTGTCCAACCAACGGTTGCACCACGAGACTGGCACAGGACCTGTTATCTGCACAATCCGTGATCGCCAACTCAGGCTATACGGCCACCTGGGTCGCTTTCCTCAGGATGATCCTGCCCATCAGGTAGTCTCTGTTCAAGACAACCCTGGGTGGAGGAGGCCTTTGGGATGGGCCGAGTCCCTGCCTGGCGACTAGCCATGAGGGATCCTCGTAGGTGGAAGCGAAGGTTGGATGCGGCTATGCGCCCCCAACGACGTCAGCCCCCTTGATGATGATGATGATGATGAATGAAAATAAGAATGATAAATCAAAAGTAACAGCAATGGTATTAATAATTGGATAATATTATGCAATGTTTTTTATTTTGTAAGTTAAGCATTTATTCTCATGCATATAGACAGTGTCTAAGAGTTTCAAGGCCCCTATTTTTGAACAAGTGAAACACCAGTTTCACTTTTTGATAGTTTCACTTGGATGAATCTTCATTGGTTCACACCGTACACCTTACAGATTTGTTGTGTGATATATACTGTGTTACATAAATATTGCTTTATTCTGACTTTGTACACAAGAATGTTGTTGATTGCTCATTCATGAAGTAATATTTGATTCCCATTTTTTAATAAAAGTGCAAAACTTTCCTCACTGTATTTAGGTGTTTGCATATAATAACAATGAACAGAAATTCATTCTAAGTATGATTATGTTTACTGCTATTATCAGTATCATTACTGTTATCATTACAATCGTTATTAAGGTAATCTTAAGAATACTCAACATTTACTTTGTAGTAATAATAATTATGATTACCATAATAATGATGTCAATGATGGTGATGGTAGCAATAGTAATTAGGAAATGATACTGATGATCAGAATAATGACAATAATGATGACATTTATGCTAACAGTGATAATATTAATGGCATTACAAATGACCAAGTTGATTACTGCTTTTGATACTCATGATTATCTTTGTATTGAAATATTATTAATAATATTAGGGAGTTACAATACAATTATCAATTATACATATAGCATTTCTGATAAGTGTTATTTTCAAAAGGCAATTTTTAGAATACAATATTTTGAAATATTTTCTAAGAACAAGGGAAAGAATATATAATAATAGGGGGGATAGAGATAGAGATAGAGCTTGTGGTTAGTAAGTGCAAGGAAAGGTAATCCATGCTGGAAACTATTTTACATACACTGATGTTATATTAGAAATTATTAGGTAAGAGTTATATTGTGAGCATATAAATGATTGAAGTAAGTAATTACTTTTCACAATATTTCAGATATACATTGAGAGTCACATTGTATATTATACTATGGATGCTTACAATGAAGGTGTCTTAGCATTTATCTTCTTTTATGCAACTGGTGTGGTTGTCTTCAATTATAAAGGTCAGATTTTTATGTTGAATGTTATAAAGGTCACTTCTTTGATCAGGTGTTAGTTTATGTACTTTTTATGTGCTGATAGCAGTGTATCATGGTAACATCACACAACACAGGGCTTCCTGGTGTAGAGGAACTTTTATTTGATCCTGAGTGTATGTTCTCTCCTGGCATCAATAAGTTAAAAAGTTTGTTTGTACATTATTTGGAACTACAGACTGACTCCCTATTTGGTTTATCTACATTATCATGTTATTTGTCAAAGGAAATTACTGTAAAATATTTACGAAGAAATAGAGTTATGCATACAAATTGATTAGATATGAAGAATAGATTTTTCAATAGAAGAATTGTTTAGGATTTTTTCCATCCTCAACACTAATCGAGACAAAAGTAGATAATGAATACTTCTGAGAGTATTTAACCCATTCGTCCCGGGCGTCACATATAAGAGACACCGGAAAAAATAAACATTGCCGGGCTGCCCGCCAGTGTGATGCTGTCTCGGGGCTGCGCTCCGAGGCAGAAGCGGCACGTGGCCGGGCGGGCGGACAGACTCCAGGGAAGCTCCGCCCGCTGATTTTGTAGCTGCCCAGATTTTTTTATTTTGGCTACAAAATTTACCCGGCGTGACTGGGTTAACAAAGGTGGTGATTTTGTAATTTTCAGTTAATGCATTGTCCAAGTAGAAGATTTGGTTTTAATTCCATTTGTTACAATGGATATTCTTTGCTGTGACATACTGTCTGTTTTATTTTGCTTCCAAATCTCCCCCTGTGTGCAAGGAATGGCTGGGGTTACCATCCACAGGCCGTGCATGGGATTGAACGCAAGTCTGCAAGATTGCTAGACCAACACACTAACCGCTGTGCCAGCAGAGCACAGGATTTTTCTTTTTCTGTTCACAAATTTTCCTTTTTCTTCCACAGAGTTTGTGATCACAGTGCTGTCAATAAGATGACAGCAACCAGTCTGAGCACAGTGTTTGCCCCAACCTTGGTTCAGTCAGCTGCCCTGGGGGAAAACATACAGCCAGCAGATTTGTTAGCAATGGCTAACTCGGCTCAAGAACCAAGAGTTGTTGAGGTTCTTGTGGTCTACCACCGTGATGTCTTTCTATAGTTCCTGTGTGTAGGTGGATGGTAAAAGTATTAACTTTTTCACAATGATATTTCCTGAGAACTGATTATAAAAATACTTATTTCAGTGATCGTCGTAAGGTAGATTGCAGTGGGTTTTTTTCTTATATTATATAAGTATGAGTAGTCAATTACTGTGATTTCTTCATAAGCCTTTGTACTTTATGATGACTTGATAACACTGACCAGTAACATGACACCTATGATACACTGACTCACTAACCATCATCTGATATCATGATAGCTTTAGTAGGTTATTGGCGTGCTGCAGTCATAACAGAGTTTGCCAACTGAGCCTGCGTACCAGAGTATTGGTGCCTTTTATGTGGAATCAAAAAAAGATCTGTATGACACAAGTCCATTGTGCTGACTTAGAAAGAGAAGGAAATGATTTCTGCCTTTCTTCATATTTCAGGTATAAGTGTTCTTTACTGTGATGAGTTTTAATCACAGGTGATCAAATATGTAGAACAAGTGTCTTTTCTCATTAAGCACCTTGATTTTTTGCTTACTGATATGATATTACATTAATCCATGTGAGATGTAGAGTGATAGGTGCTGATTTAATAGTAGACTGTAAGGCAGTCTAATATTGCTTATATTTTAGTGGTTTGATAGCTTATGTAGGGCCTCTATATCTATATACTGATTAGTGTGTTATAGCATTTAATGTCAGTTATTTTATGCATTTTAACATTATTTTACAGTTTATGAAGTGTGTTGTATGCACTTAAACAAAGTTTTATAGCAGATTTTTTCAGGGAAAATTATAAAAAAAAAGGATTGACCTTTATGTATTGACAATCATATTTCTAATTCCTTTTTAGACAGCTGTTAATCTGTACTACGTTTCTTCTCAAATTTTATTATTAATTCAGATATTTGTCTTCATTGGTGAGCTTTGTGCTTTTATGGTTTTCACAAACTTTGTAAACATTTGCCTGCTTTTGCTTCTCTCTCTTAGTTCATCCTCCTCCTCCTCCTCCTCTTGTTCCTCTTCTTCTTCCTCTTCCTCCTCGTCCTGTCTCCCTCCTCTCTCCTCCTCCTCTCCTCCTCCTCTCTCCTACCACCTCTTTCTCTCCTCTTTTTAGTCATTCTCTTCCTTTTTTATCATTATGTATATGAGCAGTTCAACAAGCCACTACAGAAAAAACTAAGCTGGTAAAGCTAGTTAATGACAGAGAAGGAAAGAAAAGAACAAATATTATAGTCTGGTTCTTTAGATCTTTATAGTGATTTCACCTTTCCAGCTTCTGAATTAGAATGTAGCCTTAGAATTAAGATCGTGCATCCCAGTTTGAGTCTAACACCTCTCATTCCGTCCATTGCAGAAGAAAAGAAAAAGGAAAGACATTTTATTGCTGACATTTGTAAGCAGGGTTGGGGTATTAACCTGTTGACACTGGGAGAGCATGTATACATATACTGTCCAGTGTGGTTTTGTTTTATGGATATTGTTTATATGTAGATGGCATTGTCACCAAGAAGTCAGTCGCAAATTAATGCACAAATGTATAGACATATAAATATATATGAATTTATGCATCAGTATGTACACATACGCACTGACATACACATGCACACGCACAAAGAAAACGTAAACATACAATGTATATATTTGGAATGTCAGATGGTGGTGTAAGTTGAAAAGGATATTTTGATGGTATTGTCTAATTGAATTTTATTAAATTTTGGAAAATTTCCTATAATTGCTATTTATCTGTTTAGCTTTAGTGTGTATTGTGAAGAGTGAGTGAGTGAGTGAGTGAGTGAGTGAGTGAGTGAGTGAGTGAGTGAGTGAGTGAGTGAGTGAGTGAGTGAGTGAGTGAGTGAGTGAGTGAG